AAAATAAATAAATAAAAATGCCAGTAGTGTACTTTAGGGCAGCTTATCTGAAATACAGAGTATGTTGAAAGGAATAATGTGAAATTAGGCTGGAAAAGAGATCCTGCTTTTCTAGAGAACCGGATTGATGAACAGAATGTAGAGGAGTGTTTATATAAAAATGAGAAAATTCTTATTTAAGGAATTATTGTTTCTGTAATTGCAATAATGAACCTTATTTAAATTTTTATTTTATAGGATGAGAAAAATCAGTTAATGACAACAAATGTCTGGTTGAAACAGGTATGTATAAAATTCAAAGGTCCACCCACCTGTTGACTGGCGCCACTGTGACTATAGGATTTGTAGCACAAAGAGACGTGAATATTTGGTGTTGGTGGGTTGGCCGGATGCAGAAAGATGAGGTAGATGGAGTTCTTGTGTTCTTTCAGTTAATATTATTTGAGTGCCTACTATATGCCAGGCACTGTTCTGGGCTCTGGATAAATAGCAGTGAACAAAACAGACGCAAGTCCCTGCCCTCAAGGAACTTCATTTTGCTGGGGAGAGAATAAACAAGGAAGTTGTGTAGTACTTTAGAAGCCCTTCAGCTTGAAGAAAAATACATTGGGAAAGCAGATAGGGAGTGTTGGGGACTGTATTTTAAATAGGATGGTTAGGGAAAGTGTCACCGAGAAGGTCATGTTTGAACAAAGACTTGAAGGAGGAGAAGAAGCAAGCCATGTGAATATCTGGGGGAGGAGTGTTCCAGGCAGAGGGACTGGCAAGTGCAAAGGCCCTGAGGCTGGAGCATACCTAGTGTGTTCGGGGAGCAGCAAGGAGGCCAGTGTGGCTAGAGGTGAGTGAGCCACGAGGAGGGCTGTAGGAGATGAGGTCAGAGATGCAACAGGAGGCTCCTACTGTAGGTTATGAGTAGCAGCTCGTAGGCCGCTCTAAGGATTTTGGCTTTTACTCTAACTGAGATGGGAACAGGCAAGAATGTAATGAATTATTTTAAGTACATAGTCCCTTTTATAGAAAAGACTTTTTTTTTTTTTTCTGGGCCATCTTACACTTGTCCTCAACTGCTCTTGAGTGCTTCCCTTTGTCTTTATTTTCCCTAATTTTTAATACCTACTACCAGTTTCCTAACCCCAAACTCCTAAAAGCCACTTATGCTTTCCTTGGGGTGTAAGTCTTTACTTGACACCATCACAGAATTGTTACTGTGTGGAGGTTGGACACAGTGTTTAAATATGTGGAATGTGTAATAAATGCAACTGCTCTTTGCATGGACCAGTCCAGCCAATCAGTGACAATACAGCTAGAAAAGAGAATGTTTCCCTTGAACCTGGATCTTAGATGCCCATGGCTGCAACTCCTGGGCAAGGTCAGTTGGTGGGAGAAGAGGTACTGAGCAGAGCCGTGAACCCACCCAGCTCTCGTCCTCACTTGTGTCTCATGTGGCCCATGGCTAGAGCCACTGCACGAGGGGACAGGGCTATACTCCAGTACCCGTAAGAAAGAGGTGCAGGTGAGTCTTCTCTGTTTGGAGTAGAGATGATTTCATGCCTAACATTTCTGGGTTTGGCAAAAAGAGTGTAGTTTTCACTATTTTTGACTATTAATTTGATTGCAATTGAGGCAGATTTCTTTGTTTTAAAGGAATGGATAGATGTGAAATTAAGATGGAACCCTGATGACTATGGTGGAATAAAAGTTATACGTGTGCCTTCAGACTCTCTCTGGACACCAGACATTGTTTTGTTTGATAAGTAAGTTACATTCAAAATACCATTTTATGTTTTCAAAAGAAAACACTTGTGGGGCCGGCCCGGTGGCATAGTGGTTAAGTTCGTGCACTCTGCTTCGGCGGCCCAGGGTTTGTAGGTTCAAATCCCAGGCGCAGACCGACGCACTGCTCATCAAGCCATGCTGTGGTGGCGTCCCACATACGAAATAGAGGAAGGTGGGCACAGATGTTAGCTCAGAGCCATTCTTCTTCAGCAAAAAGAGGAGAATTGGCAACAGATGTTAGCTCAGGGCCAATCTTCCTCACCAAAAAAAAAAGAAAACACTTGTATCACTGTTAGGCACTAGTAATTTTTTCTTCCTTTTGAAAATTGTTTAGCTATAAAGTCAAATGACTTTTTACATTCTTTTGTTTCATGAAGCTACCAGCAAGTTCTGTGGATCCTCTCCTTTTTTGGTATATTGTTTTCTGATCATATAAGTGTTCTTTGATTTCTAAAATTTGTAAAACATTTGGAAAGTCCAGAAAGGTATAAGGAAGTAGGGGGAGGATCACCTATAATCAGTTCCATCCTCCCACCACTCAGAGGCAACCATGTTGTTAGCTTACACGTATAGTGAACTTACTCTGTGCCTGGCAATGTGCTCAGTGCCTTCATTCAATTCTCATGATAACCTCACGAGTGAGGTACGATTACGTCTATTTCACAGATGAGGAAACAGAGGTGGAAGGCAGTTATACTTTGTCCAAGATCACACAGCTCGCATGTGGTAGGGTGGGGGTACATACCAAGGCAGCCTGACATCCCCATTTACCCTCTTATTTACGAGACTACATATTTGGCAGACTGCCTTCCACATTTTTTGGTGTGTTTTTTACATAGTTGAGGTTATACTTTATGTTCAAATATGGATCCTTCTAATTTTGCTTAAGTACTGTATCATAATTATGCCACAAGGAGGAGCATTGGGTTAATTATTAACTCATATTTATAGGCATTCTACTTAAGCATGTTTCAAGGATGGTTTTTAGCTTAGAGGAGAGGATAATTCTAGACGCCAGTTGCATTTTTTTTCTAGGACCATTCTAGGGCAAATCTGGGAATTTGTGCTTATCCTAAAGCACTTGGTCTTATTTGCAAGAAAGTATTTGGCATGAGGATGGAGCAAATGCTAAGCAAAAATACCTTTAATTTTTTAAAAGCTTTACCTCCATGCTTCTCAATATGTAAGGAGTGAACAAAGTTGTAAGGTAGCATGATGCAGCTTTCTGGAGCATCATTTTACTCTAAGGTATTGAAAACATTTTTATATTAAACGTGGATATATTACAGGGTAGTGTGCAAAAGTCACATGAATTTTAACATAAAGAACAATATTTCAAAGAAATCTTATGTTGGTTGTGCAGCTTCCTGCTAGACTTCTCCAGTGTATGAGTTCACTTGGAGGCAGAAGTTGAAAGGCATGGCTGTTTTTCAGGGTCATGCCCAGCTTGGTGCTAATGTTATTTTCATGTCAACGTAGCAAGCATCCAGTATTTGTGATGGAAGGGGAAGAGCAGTGTGTGGGGAGTCTAAGAATGTGGATTCAAGTTCTGGCTCTGTGCATGTCCATTGTATAAATAGCCTAATTATATTTTGCCTGTAAGTGAAAAAATTTTTTTTTTTTTTGGTGAGGAAGATTGGCCCTGATCTAATATCTATGCCTATCCTCCTCTATTTTTTGTATGTGGGACGCTGCCACAGCATGGCCCAATGAATGGCGCGTAGGTCCACGCCTGGGATTCGAACCCATCACCCCGGGCCACCGAAGTGGACCACACAAACTTAACCACTACGCCACCGGGCCAGCCCCTAAGTGAAATCTTTTTAACCACTAAAATCTCAGGATTCTGTGAAATATAGATCTGTCAGTGCTGGCATAGATATGGAAGAAGGGGTTCAGTTCTAGTGGAGTTAGATACATATTTAAGGAAGATGTCCTTAAAGCAGAGTCCCCTGCAAGTAGCAGGTATATCTCAAATGTAATAATTTAAAAATTATTTCATGCTATCAGTTATGGGCTTTCTTTTACATTAGGCTTGTAAAATGGATGCTTGTGTTGTTTAATCTCTGCTTTGTTATTGTGTGTGTATGTATTTCAGTGCAGATGGACGTTTTGAAGGGGCCAGTACGAAAACAGTCGTCAGGTACGATGGCACTGTCACCTGGACTCCTCCAGCAAACTACAAAAGTTCCTGCACCATAGATGTCACGTTTTTCCCATTTGATCTCCAAAACTGTTCCATGAAATTTGGTTCTTGGACTTACGATGGATCACAGGTTGATATAATTTTAGAGGACCAAGATGTAGACAAGAGAGATTTTTTTGATAATGGAGAATGGGAAATTGTGAGTGCAACAGGAAGCAAAGGAAACAGAACTGATAGCTGTTGCTGGTATCCTTATATCACTTACTCATTTGTAATTAAGCGTCTGCCTCTCTTTTATACCTTGTTCCTTATTATACCCTGTATTGGGCTCTCGCTTTTAACCGTACTTGTCTTCTATCTTCCTTCACATGAAGGTGAAAAGATTTCTCTCTGCACCTCAGTACTTGTTTCTTTGACTGTCTTCCTTCTGGTTATTGAAGAGATCATACCCTCCTCTTCAAAAGTAATACCTCTGATTGGAGAGTATCTGGTGTTTACCATGATTTTTGTGACACTGTCAATTATGGTGACTGTCTTTGCTATCAACATTCATCATCGTTCTTCCTCAACGCATAATGCTATGGCACCTTGGGTCCGCAAGATATTTCTTCAGAAGCTTCCAAAACTGCTTTGCATGAGAAGTCATGTAGATAGGTACTTTACTCAGAAAGAGGAAACTGAGAGCGGTAGTGGACCAAAATTTTCTAGAAACACATTGGAAGCTGCGCTTGATTCTATTCGATATATTACAAGACACGTCACGAAGGAGAATGATGTCCGTGAGGTCTGTGACATGTTGTATTTACAAATGCAGGTCTGCTTTGATTCTCAGTTTGGCAGAGTAAACCAAATGACCCTTCAGGCTAAGCATAGATTGGGGGCCAGAAATGTTGACATACTGTTCTATAAAAGATCTTTACTAAAATTTGTTTCAGTTAAAACATCTGCAAAATGGGGAACCTACACAAATCTCACTTCTCCGTTTCCCCCATTGGCATCTTGGATGACTTTAAAGAAAATGTAGTGTTATGCTGACTGCCCTGTTATTCTAAGGAATAGTAATCCTGCCATATGTTTTTTGGCTCTGACATAATTAAGTGTTTTAATTTTATCTTCAGTAACTTTATTTCTGAATTCTGTGATAATCTGCAGAGACAACTGCATTATAATTTATCAAAAGTGATTTTATTTTTTAAAGAATGAACCTAATGTAGGCTTTATAAATATAGTCTAGGTCAAGGTATTTTTCTAGAATAAATATTTTTGTTCACTTACAAAAGAATGTTAGTGAAATTAAAAGTAGTAAAGTATTCTTATGTTATACATCAAAGTGTTCATATGAAGCTTATTGATAATGCTTAATGATATGCTTAATTTGCTTAAAAGCAAAAATTTGTTTAAAACTTTATTATAGAAAAATAACTCATTGGCTCCTTAAGGTTAATACTTAAAATGCAAGAATTGAACATGAATACATTTTATTAATGTGATCATATTGAACTGAGTTTTCTTTCAAAACGTAAAATTTCAATCTTGTCACATTCTTATTTCTATTGTGTAATATTTTTAATGCCATGACTATAGTAATATTTTCAGTAATAATTTCATAAATTCATAATGAATTTACTTTGAATAGTTCCATTAAAATTATATGAATTCTATTTGTAAAGCTTTTTTAAATGGAAAAATTTCTAGCAGGTGTGATAAGTAGATGGAATGAATCTGGTAAAAAAAACAGCCCTCCTCCCAAAAGAAACATTTGACATATATTTCTTGTGGATTTGTAAAGTTTCTATTTGGTAGTAGTATAATTAAATTAGTTTATACGGTCTGAAGCTATCAATGGTGTCTTGAAAAATACAGATATTAGTTAAATAATGATTTAGATTGAGATGGAATTTAATAAATGTCTGCAAAGTATTTTTTTTTTTTAAGATTTTATTTATTTTTTTTTTCCCCCCAAAGCCCCAGTAGATAGTTGTATGTCATAGTTGCACATCCTTCTAGTTGCTGTATGTGGGACTCGGCCTCAGGATGGACGGAGAAGTGGTGCCTCGGTGCGCGCCCGGGATCCGAACCCCGGTCACCAGCATTGGAGTGCGCGCACTTAACCACCAAGCCACGGGGCCGGCCCTCTGCAAAGTATTTTGCAAAAGGGTCAGGGGTCATCCCACTAGGGCCAGTAAATGGGTTTTATTTTCACGAGAAAAATTTAGAAACAGAGAACATGTCTACAATCCCCTAAATTCTACATTATCCCACAACTTGGGGCACAGTCCTATAGAAGACCCGCTGCTTCATAGAGGCAGGGGGCTAGGGAGGCCCTTGGTCAAGGAATGACCTTGTGGATAGGAGCCTCTGGTGCTCAGGGGCTGGTCTCAGCCTGCCCTTTTCCTTGAGGTCACTCAGACCTGCTGAGCCAGCTCCCTGCTTACACAGCAAAAAGGGGGAGGAAATGAGCTCCAGGCCAGCAGATCTGAACTCATGAGCTTAGAATAAAATGGCCCCTAGGAAATCCAAAACTAAATAAACTCAGGTCAGGGTGGGGAAAGAAGATGAACGGTTATCTAATATGTATTATTCTGAACCAGCTTTTAATTTGGCATGACATTAACCTCAGGCTGGATTCTCTTTAAAAATTAAAATAAGTAAAACACTACTGGGCAAGAATAAGTAACAGAAATAACTGTATATAGTAAGAATAATTTTTTTTTAGTTTATTATAAAATATCCAAGGAGTATAAATATTCCAATTTCTATTAAAAATCTATCAAAATAAGCCACTTGTAATATATTACAAATTAATGTGTGAATTAACAAATTGTGTAGTGTCTTTGAAAGCTTGCAGAGGCTCTATCTGTTGTAGACCGTCAGGGTGCTGTCTGTCCCTGAGCCCGAGTACAGGGTCACTTACTGTTTTGAGGCAGCAGGGGGAGGCAGAAACTGATTTGACCTCTAACTCAGTGTGTTATATTTTTAAATAGTTACACAATTTAAAATTATGTATTTAATATGTTTTTATTTTTTTTTTGCAACAGGTTGTTGAAGATTGGAAATTCATAGCCCAGGTTCTTGATCGGTTGTTTCTGTGGACTTTTCTTCTGGTTTCGATTGTTGGATCTCTTGGGCTTTTTGTTCCCGTTATTTATAAATGGGCAAATATAATAGTACCAGTTCATATTGGAAATGCAAATAAGTGATACTTCTCAAGGGATTGTAGTAGGAATTTAGTTACCAAAAAGGTATATATCATATGGCACCTATAAAATTATGAAAATGTAAATTGTTTAAAATTTGATGCAAGCTTTAACAGATTAACAGTTGCTAACATCAGTTTATTTTAATAGATTGCCCATTAGAACATCTACCTGCGTGACTAAAGTAATAACCGATGGATCTTCTAAAAATCGCAGCAAAATATTATCTGAATTATACTAGTAAAAATCTAATGTTTGTGTCCTGGCAAATAATACTAATTTGTAATCATCAGTGAAGTTCTTTTTTTTTTTTTTTTTTT